TTAGGAAAAAAATGAGTTGATTTTTTATGTTTTAAAACTTCTTAAATTCATTTAGTAAACATCGTATCCTCGTTGTTATTGAATCCAGAATGTTGGTGTCGTTTATATAATTATTCTTACTTGTCCACAGAATCTGCTGACTTATCCAGCCATTAAGTAGCTGCAGATCATTTCTACATAACCATTGAACTTCCATTAATTCAGTCTCTAGAGGGTTGTATGTTTATATCATAATTGATTTTTGATAAATTTATAAATTTGACTTTATAAAAAATGATTATTCTAAATATTATGTTTCTATAAAAATATATTGTGCTTTAAAAATATGGATGATAGTATCAGCCGCTCTTTCAGCCACTTCAAAAGCAACAGTTTGTTTAGAAATAAATTATGCAGTTAATGTCATAAAATTCAAATAAATATCAAACGAAAATTCTCAGTTTTAGACAATTCGATTTAAACGAAGTAAAGTAGCAGACGATAAAACGCCGAAGGTAAAAATTTACTCTTACAAAAACTTACTCTTAAATTTTTTAAAAAAGAAAAGATACGAGAGAAATTTAAAAAAAAAAATAGTTAAAAATTTGAATAATATCATCTATAATTTAAAAAAAATAGCCTTTCATATAGTATTAATAAATATTTATTACGCATCATTGAGGGAAAAAATGTCATATAATTAATTCTCCGTAAAATTTTACTTGAAGTTTAAGGTTAAAAATAGCTGTGGCAATTCAGTGTAACAAAAATCCATAGACCACATTTGGCGTTATTATCGCTCAAAAAAAAAAAAGGTGCCAAATTTCAAAACGCGAAATTATGTAAATTCGTGTATATCTTAGAAAATTTTGAATAAAAAAGTCTAATTTTTTGCAGATATGCTTAAAAATACACCTACTTTAAGATGATGGTAAAAATTTTATAGGTTATAATTCAAAATTTTTTTCGAAAAAATCTATAGAAATTATTTAAAAATAGAAATTTAAAAAATAAAAAAAAAAAATGGGTAAATTTTATTTGGAATGAACCAAAATTTCGAAATGTGAGAGAAAAAATCAAAAAAGTTTAATAAAAAAGAGATATTAATAAATATTTGCCAAATTCAATTAACATTGAGGAGCTAAAATTTTGAGAGCTAATATTTTAAAAACTATTCGTACGATTTTTACAAAACTTGGTATTCTGGCATAATTTGAGTCGTAGAATCGAAATATGTAAAAAAATTGGTATGTTATTTCAGAAAAAGTCCGATTTTGTGTCAAAATACCTATGTTAGAATAGTACTATATATAAATCTAATATATATCCTAAGTCGCGCTTTCGAGACATGAAAAACGCAGTTTGAATTTTGTCAATCGGCCCAGTAGAACGGGAGATATAGCACTGTCCCATTTTTTTTTTTTTTTTTTTTTTTTTTTTTTTTTTTTTTTTTTGAGCAGTGTACCTATTTTAAGAAGAGCTGGTAAGCCTTGTTCAAAGGGCCTGTCCCCAGACAACTGTTTGACTTATACAGAATTGGTTTCATATTCGAGACATTACTGAATGATCGACGAAAAAAAAAAAAAAAGATTGTCCTGCTTCAATGCGTCCGACTGCAAGCTAGTATTCACTAACTACCATTTGTCTTCTTTTAGCCATAGAAACACAAATATCATAAAAATTATCTTAGGTCATTGAAAAATGCCTTGTATCAAGTTTTAAATGATTTTTCTTAAATCCTTCCGAATGATGGCCTAATTAACATATATTCAGACAATCAATCATGATTGCTGTAACATACGATATTTGCTGCATCCGCAGCGATTTTCAGCTACTCAATTTCAACAACGCTTGCGAAAATTGCTAATTTGCATTGCGTGCTTAACTTTTGGAAACCAGTGCTAAATCAACACAGCAGAAGCATAACGCGCACCTTAAAAAATATTTTAAATGATTCATATTGCTTTTTAGGTGCTACTGCGAGATGCGCTATTTCTGTTTGTGAATGCCCTCATTTGTATTATTCGATACCACATGGTCAATCGGCTGTTCAATAGGGGAAGTAAAGAATTTTCCTAACTACTAGTTTTACAGGACGCGAATATTAGCAGACCGTTGTACGAGAGACTAAGGTAATTTGTGATCTTAGTCGCGTGAAATCGATATATTTTTCACAAACTGACCAATGGATGTATGATCATAATAAGAAATAAGAAGACACTGAAGTGATATCTCGCCTTGCTGTGTTCCGTGTTTATGCTAAATTCACATTCCCAGACCGAAAGAAACGTTGTCATTGTCTAGGCCTCCCTTTGCACATGGGTCTAATCCTCTTAACATGTCTTAGTAAGCTAATGATGAAAAATCCCTTGTATCGCCTCCGAGTAGCCCGACATAACCCCCACATAATAAAGCACGCAGCACGAGTACAAAGTGCAATGCCTTAGTCGACAGACGAGCGAAAGAGGAACCTCTAAAACCGGCTGGCCAACGCTAAAAAACATTCACCAACAGTACAGTTAGAAGACACATCATCGCCATCGCATGCTTCATTCCTTAACATACAGTGATATATGCTAGGATTTAAACTGTATCATTTGAACATCTTAGGTAATTCGATTTATAATTTTTATGAAAAGTAAGAATTCAATTGTTACTATTTTTATGAATTGTAAAGGTATTAAATAAAGTAATGCTTTTCTTTATGTGTTAATTATTATTCATTTTTAAGTTTTGTGAACTGTTATGAATATAATTTGTGCATTTGATCAAGATAAACTGTTCTGTTGTTAAAAAATTTTTGCATAAACTTACAAATTTCTCGGCAGTACAGCAATAAAATAAGGTAAAATATTTACACATTTGAACATGTGGAAAGACATATCCAAAAATTTATATAGGTATATTTCTGTAATTCAGCTTAATTCAAGGCAATTTCTTCGAGATTCATAAATATGAAACACGCATAAACTGAACTCATTAAATTCACATAAATCTGTTTTATTTTATTAATATTTATTTTCTTGTTGTTATAAGATTGTTGGTTCTGAAAAGGATCTATTTAAAACTTTCATTTAAAAAAATAACTATTTTTTTAGATAATTATCTGCTAAATATGTGAGTTTCTGTTTTAGTGTTTTACAACTTAAAGCTGAAGTATTTAAGCATACTAAAATAAAATAACTTTCTTTTCTATCTCTTAAACTTTGTATATGAAATGATTCTTTAATAAATTATGATAATATTGTGAATAAATCAGAAATATCACTTCTTAAAGGAAAAATTGGAAAGTACACCCAACAGGTTGCTAATAAAACCTAAACAAATTATTGAAATGTGCAGAAACATCATTTTTAAAGGCTTTTAATTATACGCATGCATCTGAATTTTGAACTATTTCTTAATAATTTTCTGTACATAGTAAATTATGGATAGCATCTTTATTACTTTAAAACAAAAATTTAACATATTTTTACTGGACAATACATGCACGGAACAGCTTAGAAACACGTACGTTTCACTGCCGAATGCAATGTATTGACAGAACAAACATAGTCGTCGCTTGTTAGGTAGGGATTTCATTCCCCGATAGTGGAGGAAACTGCGAACCCTCCCTCTTTCTATTCTATTCTCTGTATACACTATTCTGGCATATACAGAGAAAATTATTTTATAATCATCTTATCTATATTATGATTATCGGTGAAGAATGAAATTTTTTAAGTGATTGTAATATATAAAAGTCGATTTAAAAATGGAGAGGTAAAAGTCTATAAACGTATTTTGAGAAGTTTTAAAAAGTTTCAGTGAAGGATCTATGAATGATTCGTAGTTTCTCAAAGTAGAAAAATGTTAAAATGAATAGCTACGTGATATGCTAAAATCAGATTTTTGCATTATTAAGTGATAAACTCTTATGTCTAAAGAGGAAATTCCGTGTCTCTATCTACAGAACTTTTAAGGAACATTAATTTCACTACTGTTAACTTTCAAGGAATATAATTCTACTACGATTCCACAATGATATTTCTCCTCTTTCTAATAATAACAATAACAATAATAATCTACAGCTGCATTTTCTGAAAGAAAAAGTGTCAGAAGAGTAAAGAGGTATTAAATCTATTGTTCAATAGGTAACAAATAGTACTGGACTTCTAATTTTTCAGCCCGCAGGAGTTTTGATTTTCCTCTTTCGGTAGTGTTTTTTATTATTTTTTACTATTTCTTCAACGTACCCTAATGCTTTAGTAAAGGAGTAATGCTTGTCTAATGATTTAAAAAGCACTTTCTAAATAGAGAACTAAAAACTACAGGAACTACGAAAAATAGTGGAAAAGTCATCGAGCAAGATTCCGTAGCCAATTGTAAGAAATATCCTTTTTCTTGAAAATTAACGCTCAGATTTTAAGTACAGGAAAAGAATCATCACATTGAATATTTGAGAAGTAAGCATCTTTATTTAAAGCGTTAAGTATTATGCAGATAATTCATTCTAAATATGCAAATGTGTCAGTAACATTTAAAACAAAACGTATCGGAAAATATTCCAAATTTTTTAACAATAGAATTACTTTACTTATACAGTAAAAGTTTGAAAAATTCAGATAAATTATGAATTTAAACTTTGCCCGAATGCAATTTTTTTTAAATGTAAATGATAGTCTAATATTTCCTCCGGAGTACAATGCGATAATGACCATAGAAGTGATAAAAAAGCATTAACTAGAGTAAATCATTTTCTGGTTGTTTTTATTAGTTCTTTCCCCCCTTTACCTAAATCTAAAACTCAATTTAAGATTCTGTCATCAAAAACTCTCGCCTGCTGTTATTATATTTCCATCCACCCCCAGAAAAAAGTATTTAGTACTTAGTAAAATTGCAACATAACACCCTCCATAAATCTTTGAATTATAAATGAGATTAATCTTTCCATTCTAGAATAAAATGCGTTTATTTTATTTATATATTATTTTTTATAAAAAATTGAAAGAAAACAGATTAAGCTATTTAGCAGAGGTAAACTAACTTACTCTATCACTGCACCAAACAGATTCATTCCCTTCAGGATCGACATTGGATGAATCTACCTTCAGATAGGCCAGTTTGCGATTTAATCCATTCCTTAGTATTTGACGCAAAGAAGATTTGCCAATGAAATCAGCTTCTTTATTTATAGCGATGAAATAATCTAGGCCCGCTTCATAAGGATTTGAATCAATATTCATCTACAAATGCATAAAAACAATTTTATTTTATTTACATTAATATAATTCTCATTAATCACTCTATGGTCACATAATTGTAAATACTGATTTATTTATGCAAATCAGTTACTATAAATTAAACAACTATGTGGAGGAAGTTTAATAATTAACAATAAAGTATTGTAAGAAATATTCTTCTTCATTTACGCGTTCCTTCGTGGTGTAATTGGAATCTCATTAGGCTCAGGAGGTTTTGAGCTCGAATTCCGAGGAGGGCATTGTTAATTTTTCATGTTTTCTGCTCCGAAATAAATCTGTCTACGGGCCTCTAATTTTGTACATCAGGTCCTCGTTTTAGCATTCAAAAAATTAAACACAATAATAAAATCCAACCTAAAAAATAAAAATAAATAAATAAAATTATAGTTATTTCTTTTAAAGTTGAAAAAAACGTATGTGTTGACTCTCTTTGGATACTTTACTGAGGAGATATTTCACACATTAAAACTGAAACGTTTTCTTTTTTTCATTCATTAGAGAAAGGTTTGGTTATATGATTATGGCAAAGCCTCGAGGACTATTTGCCTAAGGGAGGGATGCCTTCATGGATGACTTTCTAAAGGAAACTGGCTCATATACACGTTACACATGGGGAATGCGGGCCAGCTTTTTCGCGGGATTCGAACCTCCGGCCGAAATACCAGTGTTCAGCGACTTTACCGCTTCGCCGCTGGTGAGCCCATTTTAAAGAAAGGATTATTTGGTTTGTTTTATTTAACTATGGCGAAGCACAGGTGGGCTATCTACCTAAGCAGAGGATGTCTTCATGGAAGATTTTCGAAGAAAAACTCGCTGTTATACATGTTTCAATGGGAATTGTAACAAAAAACCACGAAAACACCCATGCAGCCAGCCCATTGGAACCCCAGACCGAGCGATAATGCCTATTTTTCATATGTATGTATTTACGAATTTCTCAAATAAATAATACTAATGATAAATAAACATATCTAAAACATTTGCTCTTCTATCAAGTAATTAAAACACATAATAATTATACCTAATTAATTTAAACTAAAACGTTTTGCAAATAGCAATTAAATTTGCTTGATCTTAAAAAAAAATACATGATTTGCAAGTAAAATTTGAACTGGAATTAAATGTTATTATTTTATGATGTTTTAAAAGGTTTAATATTTTTGCATTAAACAACAAAGCATGAAATTTATTATTAAAAATGGTCATATAAATCTAACCTCTGCGCCCCACATTCGAAATCCTTTTTCAATTCTCAGAGAATTTAGAGCATAAGTACCAAAATCTCCTATACCAAATTCTTCTCCTGCATCAAGTAATGCATCGTATAAGGTAAGTGTATGAGAGGAAGGATGATACAGTTCCCATCCTAATTCACCTGAAAAAAATTTTAAACGCATTTTTAAATTTTTGATTATGTACACAGAGAAAAAGATATAATACAATATGAAAATTTCTTTTTTAAATTTAAAAAAAAAAAAAAAAAAAAAAAAAAAAAAAAAAAAGAACGTTTTTTAGTGCGTTGAAGCCTGTTGTCGGCAAATTGATCAGGAATATAAAAATTATAAAGAAAAATAAAATAATATCAACAAAGTCTTCAAAGAATAAACGAACAGTAACTACATTTTTATCATGGCCTCTGTTATTTTTTTTTAATCTGTCTCCACAAGGAAAATTGAATGTTTAATTTTCTACGAGTTTTTTTTTCTTTAGCCTTTGAAAAATATTTCGGAAAGAAAGGGTTCAAATGTTCTTTTATCTTTATTACTTTAAAATAAAAATCTGATGTGGACACTACATGACATCCTTGTACAACTTACTAAATTATGCACAATTTTTGCTGCATTTCATTGAAACTCATTCCCTTGAATTTCATTATAGATATATTTCTCATTCAATTAATTCAGTTCTCACTTCGCGGCGAGGCAAAAATACAGAAAAACTCAAAACAACTTCATTAAAAATTGTAAAAAAGAAATACCACAATTAAAAAACAACAACTTTTACAATTAAAATTCAGAGTTTCTACGCAAAAACAAGCAATTCGGCCAGCAGGCAAGAAAGCAGATTTTTTGGTTCGCAAAACTGAAATTACTTTTGGCCCCACTCCCCCGGCAGAAAGACACTGAAGGTGCAGAAACTGATTTTATTCACTATTCTACTAAAGAGTTTCAAATGTAAACAAATGGCGGCTACTGTAGACTTAAACAGCTTTTAAATTGTTGATAAATCTGTAACTATTGCATGCAGATTAACTAAAGGGATTAAAAACCTTAACCGGACAATAAGAATAACATAATTCAATCACTTTTAAAGCAAAATATGCACAATTTACCAACATATAAGAATAAAAATACTAAGCTTACCGAGCCGGGTAACAGAGTGGATGTATACATCCCTTTCTAGTTGCAATCTGCGGCACCAAACTTATATATATATATATATAATATTGTATGATCTTAAATTCACTTAGTGGGAAATCGAGTTATTCTACTACTTGCGCAATTGCTGCAAAGTAAGTTAATAATAAATTATTTAAATATATTGATTATATTATATTATATAGATTATATAACATTCAAGTTACTTTAAAACATTTTTCGAATTTGAACTTACTAAGTTTGGATTCACGCTTTTAAGATAATTCTACTAAAATAAATCTTAGGAGATATATAATCAATATTCTCTCTCTCTCTCTCTATATATATATAATTACTATATATATATATATAATTACTATACATATATATATGTATAGTAATTATTAATAATTTAAAAGGCCGAAGACTTGCGCTAAAGCTGGCAAGTGATGAATCAGTAATTTATTATTACAAAAGGTTTTTCTACAATAGAAATCTAAAGAACTTGTACTTAAAATACTGACTAAAATTTATTCCAATAATTCATCGCTTTAGTTAAATTTCTGTTCCTTGGAGATGATATATGAAAAACCCTTTTCTAATTAAAAATTATATATACACACACACGTTTGGTGCGGCCGACTGCAACCAGAAAGAGAGGTGCACAACTATACGTTATAGCAGTCCCATATACAAAAATTTCAAGTTCTTATGAAAATTTCAAGTTCATTCAGTCAGTGTTTTACATTTATGACTTGTATAAGTATTTTTCAAAAGGAAATTCCCTTTTACTGTTTTTTTTTTTTATTTTTTTTTATTTTATTTTATTTTAAGGCTGCATTCTTGATTCTTTTTTGAAAATTGTTTTATAACTTAATATATCTTATATGTTGAGATTTTATCTGATTTATTTTATAATTCCGCTTGTGAATTTCATTATTGTTATCTATTTATAGGGTTCTAGTCACTTATTTAACTTAACCTGGTACATACTAAAACTATCAAATGACTGATCTCCTCATCTATATAAACAACTGCAAACGTAGGCGGGTTTACGAGCCTCTTTATTTATAATTTTGAACTCGACAAATGCACGACTTGTGCTCATAAAATAAATTTCCGGAGCTTGCGGGATTCCAGATGACGTAAAAGGTGAATTACAATAACTCTGGAGATACACAATCAAAAGTCTATCAAGGTTGACGCGATTTAATCTAACATGGATGGTGAAATGCTAACGCTGTATAAAGTAATTCTGAGAGGTAGGCGAAGAATAGCATAACGGTCAGCATCGCTGCCAAAATCTCTGTTAAGAATAAGTTCACAAAAACAAAGGTAAGCGGACTGTAATATCACTTATTTATTTTACATAACACTTTCAAATAGAAGGAATGCCGTCTAGATGACGACACAACACACTTCACTCTTAGCACTGTAGCAATTAAAATAAATAAATAAATAAATAAAAAATAAAAATAGAATAAAATTATGAGTTGAAAGTTCGTTACCATAGCAACCAGAATTGAATCATCAGGCAGCAACGCCATCTATTGTTGCAAAGACACACTAGTAATTCGTTTGGTAACAAAAATACTAAACATAGCCCCCGGCCTTGAAGCCTTCTAAGGGTTCAAAAAAGACAAATAGTTAAAGCATACATAATAACATTAACAAAAAAATTAATTGAAAATATAACTAAAATTAAAGTTCAATAATATGAAAAAAGTCAATAGTTCATAGTTCATATTAGTCATGATTGGGGATAAGACACAATTTAGTAACAGCTCGTTTGAAATCACCAGCGGCTGTATGGATTGTAGCCACTCGAACTTTTTATCACTACCTGGATGAATTAAGGCAATTCTTCCAATTTTCCATTGGTTTGGAGGCAGTTGTTCGTTTTTGATCAGAACTAAATCACCCACATTTTAGATTTGGAGACGCACGAAACCACTTAGCACGTTGTTGAAGTGTTGTTAAATATTCTGCACACCATCGTTTCCAAAAATGTTGCACAGTCTGTTGAACTAGAGACCAACGTTTAAGTCGTGAAGATTTCACATCACTCAAGTCAGATTCCGGAATGGCAAGCAAAGGGGCTCCAATCAGAAAATGACCTGGAGTCAATGCACTAAAGTCGTTTGGATCACTAGACATCGCACAAAGAGGACGGGAATTCATACACGCTTCCACTTGTGTAAGCACTGTTAAAAATTCCTCGTAAGTTAGAAGTGTGGATCCTAATACTCGTTTAAGATGAAATTTCATGGATTTCACATTAGATTCCCACAAGCCACCGTAGTGAGGAGATGTCGGAGGATTAAATAACCAAGTTATACCTTCTGAGGTAATGTAGTCACATAATTCACTGCTTTTCTCAATGCGAGCTGCATTTTTATAAATCTCCTTCAGTTCCTTACTAGCACCTTTGAAGTTAGTAGCACAGTCACTCGAAATTTTAGATGGTTTGCCTCGTCGGGCGATAAATCTTTTTAGAGCTGCTAAAAACGTTGAAGTTGATAAATCACTGACTAACTCCAAGTGTACAGCTTTTGTTGAGAAACACACAAAAATGGATACGTAACACTTGAAAGTTTTTGTTCTTCTTCCAACTTGGGACTTAATAGAATATGGACCAGCATAATCAACACCGATGACTGCAAAAGTTCTTGATGGTTGAACTCTGGGCGAGGGTAAATCACCCATTATCTGGGTCACAGTCTTGCCTCGATTTCTAATACAAGGAATACATCTGTGAATAATCTTTCTCACCGCAAGAATCCAAAACTGCATTCGTAAAGTGCTTATTAATAACTCTTGACTAGCATGCAAATAATTGACATGGTAATGAGTTACGATGAGATTAGTGACATGTCCTTCCTTTGGAAGCAAAATAGGATGTTTGCTATTTTCAGGAAGAACTTAGTTTGCGTATTTTTTAGCGACACACCTAATCGAATCGAATGATATGCTTCTTCTCATTCAACGGGAGAAGTCTAATTCATCAAGGAAGGGAGTTAATTGTATTACTCGGCTGCTCACACCTTTTAATTCTCTCGATGTTTTTAAATAAGAGAGCTCTTGAGGAAAATATGATTCTTGGACATTTTTTATCACTGTTTTTGTAGCTAATCGAAGCTCATCGGTTGTCAGAAAACCTCTCAAACGATTTTCGGAGAAGTTTCGACAGTTGTAAATAAATCTTAGGCATAATGCAACTATACGACGTAATTTTGTCCAAGATGAATACCGTTTAAAAATGTCATTTTCCTTTACCGCACAAGATACTGAAATGCAAGTTTTTCTTTCTTCTCTACGAACTCCTTCATAATCTACATCAGCAAGATGTTCACTGTCAGGACATGGTTCGAAATCTTGTGAATATAACCAAGTAGGTCCAATGAACCATCGCTTCACACTTCAGAAATTCTGCTGGAAACATTCCTCTTGTACCTGAATCAGCTGGGTTCCGCTTTCCATTGATATGGTTCCACCTTACATTAGGAATTGTATTCTGTATTTTAGCAACGCGGTTTGCAACAAAGGGAACCCAACGGTATGGTTCTGCAGAAATCCAGGACAGTACAACAGTTGAATCTGTCCAGGCCAAAACTTTACGTATAGGAAACTCTAAATGTTCTAACACTGATTTAAGCAAATTCACTAACAAAACTGCGGCGCATAACTCTAATCGAGGTAATGATTGCACTTTCAGAGGGGCAACTCTTGTTTTTGATGTTAAGAGTGTTACTTTGATGTCCAAATTACGTGACACTGAACGCAAATAAATTGCTGCACAGTAGCCTTTCTCGGAGGCATCACAAAAAGCACAGATATCAATATAGTTCACGTCAGGAATCAAAACAAATCTCGGTATTTTTAATTGTTGAATAAGATGTAAATCATTTCGGAAAATCTTCCATTTGTTAGCAATCTCATCACTAACAGGTTCATCCCACGATAAATGGAGTTTCCACATGTCTTGTATCAAGATTTTGACATAAATAATACAAGGAGC